ACAAACTCCATGGGGCTCAACCATTTCTGAATGCAGCTTTCTTGAGCCAGAGGCAAACTGTTCCATTGCTTACCAAAGTGATATTTATCTAATTTGTTACTAGAAAATGCTTGCAGGGAGAAAAAAAAACAAATCAACTGAACAAAAAGCAACCAAAAGCCAGACTCAGACCAAGAGCAGCAAGAGCCACTGAAGCCCTGTGCTAGCATCAGCAAATCTGTATCCATTTGCCCCCATTGTGGAAATATCAGAAGGAACAAAGGCTTTCTGGATCAAATTCTGCTCTCATTTTCACTGACATAAATGGTATTTCTAAAGCTGAGAGAATTGCTGGCTGACCGACTGACATGGTAGACTTCAGGCAGAATTCAGGTCTCCTTGACCGGATCAGAGCAGAGGAACTTGTCCCAGGCACGGGGCTAAGATAGACCTGCTGATTGTTTAACGATACTGAGAAATAGCAAAATAGGCTTCCCTATAATTTTTCACCTAGCTGAGATTTGATCAGAGATATAAAGTCAAGAAAGACATGAGCACCCATTATGGTTAAGTTTCCAAAATGTAATTTACACAATGTTTACCTTAGGAAAAATGATCTTGTTTCTATCTTTGTACTTTATCAGTGGTGCTCTGTCTCTTTGCATACTTATACTCACCACTGCAGCCTCCAAACATTCTCCTTTAATTAAACAAAAACTCCGTCCTTTTGTTTCCTAGGTCTCGAGGGAAGACCAGTAAATTAAATAAAGATATCGTCTAAGTATGGAAGTTGGATTTCTACCCAAAGAACTTAATAATAGCACCATGATGCCTGCAAAGTCAAAATTGATATAGTTTTATATACACAGAGGCAAACAGTTGAGTGTGAAGAAAGTAAACATCAGATAGTTTTTGAACAGTGGTTTATACAGCTTATTCTGTGTTTGTAAATATAGAAGTGTGTTGTGGTGGCTAAATTTATCCTACTGTAAGGAAACGTGAACAAAAAGGCTGGTATTTGGTAACTTCTATAGGCAACATTAGGACATCCTGTGTGAATTATTTTGGGGCAGTTCATGATAACATGGTACAGATTACAGTTGCCATTTCTGGAAAAATTAGATCAGAATTATGTAGATAACATGGAAAGAATTTCAGTAGCATTGTAGTATTTTCCTGACTTGAAGCCTGACTCAGTCGAACCTTTTTTTTATTGTATACCTTGTTTTGATATGTAGTCAAAATAGCCTTTATCCAGAGAAAATAAAAATAAACCAGCCGAGCAAGAAAGAATTATACATAACATTGAATAAAAATAAGTACAGCAAGCTTAGATTCAGAGCAAATGGGTTGTCTTGCCCTGTGAAACTTTTTGCAATTTCATAAATTGCCATGCCAAACAGAGGGAAAATCGGAGAAGGGAGGTACAATTTGGTAACAGCTTGGAAATGGGGCCTTTCCTTGCTCTTGATCCATGCTGGAATTTCAGCTGTACATCAGGTGTATTTTGGAACCATTGAAGTACAGCCACACTGGAAAGTGTTGGCTCTCTTCTCTTTATGCTTCCCTTCATTCTTATATTTCATCCTGGATTAGAAGAACCTCTCACTTAAAAAGGGGATAGATCATGGCCATGAAGAGTTTACTTTTTAAGAGAAGTGGGATTAGTTCTAGTTAGAAGAACGAGCACCCCAACTCTGCAGCATTGCATCTGCAGTCAGCACAATGTTTCCATTGGCTCCAGGTAGAATATTTTTTTGGCTCAGGTCATTTATTGCAAGGTAGAATGTACTTTTACACGGCTCTGTGTTCAGGGCCATAAATCCCAACACATATCATGCTTCTCTTTTTTCACGAAGGGTTCTGGCCTGAGTTATTGAATCTCTTTCTGCCATGGAGCTCATGTTGAGAAAAGCAAACCTCTGAGGCAGACCCTGGTACTTGCATGTGAGCCAGCCTTAAGATAAAATGCATCATGTTCCCTCTTGCTTATTCAGTAAGACAAACAAACTGTTATATTCTGGTTTTCAGTCCAGCTCATTAATGCAAATCAAGGTAAGCTGCAGTTGATGCTCCTATGCCAGAAGGTAAATAGCACAGAGGCAGGAGTAGGACCGCATCCCCTTCTGCCCCCCTCACGTGCAAACAGGCCCCTGGAGCAGGCTGAGCAGCACGAAACTCCTTTGGCTGCTCTTCTCAAAGCCTGCAAGCCCCTGGGATCAGGATATCTCGCCTTCTTTGTGCTCTTTGCATTGCTGCCCAGGCTTAGGTTTGGGCTCTTGCTTTACCTTGCATGGCTCTGGGGACCATGCCTTCCACAGAAGGCCCAGTGGGTGGCCATCACTATACAACGCTGCAGCAAAGACAAGCAACAAGGTCAGTTTAGGAGGAAGGAACGGAGGAAAGCCAGCTATTGAGAACAGGCATAAGCACAGTAAACCCTAGAAGGAACAGGTTTATTTTGAGGATGGTCTCTCAAGAATATCTTACGCAATTGGCCAGAAATTTGGGCTGCTAAAGCCCACCCACCACATAATTTGGCCTGGTCACCTACAAAATCTGGCTAGTCAGCCTTAATAACAGCATAGGCGCTGCTGTGGCACTCCTCCACTCCCAGAATTGCTTCTCTTCTCCTGCTATCTCCCAGGAGAAAAAAAAGGAGTGACTGGGATGGGGATGCTGATGTGCACCTCTTCCCTGGCAGGGGCACCTCATGCTACTCATTTGTCTTCCACATCAGCTGGGTGAGAGGCAGCACCTCAACTACTTGCTTGTTTATTTTCCCTTCTGAAGGCAACCACCAGTGGGTGAAGAAACAGCAAACCAGGGAGCGTTAGTGAGGTCTCTTCACACCTGATAGAAGTCACAAATCCACGTGTGTCCCAATGTGGAGATCAAAGGGTGGCTCTGGGAGCTGCATCCTGCCCTGCAGAAGCACAGGGGCTCCTGGTTCCTTCCCACTGCCTGGGCTGGGCTCTCCTGTTGGACCCCATCTGCAGCACTGTCACCTCTCCCCCAAAAGTACTGCCCCAAAATGTGGCAGAACAGTGTGAAGGAAACATGACACAGGCTCTACTCAGCCTCATGGTGTTTGGGTGTGAAAGATGTTGCAAACAAATGAGTATTGACAAGAAATCTGGAACAGTGACTGCCGTTAGTGTGTGTAAGTGTCACATACCTTGCATTGTATTTGTTTGTCAAAATTTGTTTTAAAAAAAAAACAAACCCAAAACCAGAACAGTTTTATCCATGGACTGACTCTGGTGCTTTTTTGCTTCCATAGGATCAGAAATTATTAAATCCATTTATTTGCCTCAAGCATCTTCCCAGCTATAACCACTTTAGGCTAAAACTTGGAGACATTTAACTATTGCTCTAGCTGTTTCTTGTGCTTGGGCCAGGCTCCACTGAGGTCTCCATCTTTAGCTTGCATGGACTGGGCTGAGACTTTTAGGATAGCATAGTAATAAGGAACATAACACTGCCTAGTCCAGTATAGCCCACAGAGCACCTAGTGTGTGCCTTTTCTCCTCTAGTTCATCCATATTCAACCCTTATTGGCCAATGATACAGTAAATCCAACATTAGAATTTGTACTATTGGATGAAAAAGACATCAGCTGTGTAAGAGTGCTGGTTCAGGATAAATTTATTTTGCCAATTCAAATTTCACTGTAAAGTTTTAATGAGCAAGCTTGAAGCTAAAACAACTATTATCTGTTATCTCACATCTGGCACAACCTTTGTGTGTTATGATCTGGCTAATCTGACAGAAAGGCAGTCATGGGCACACACTTAATCTAGGTCAGCTTTGTATGTGGGGCAATCTACCTCCATGATCATGGAGCCACAGCCTAGGGAAAAATGGGGCATATGAAAAACAAGCTGATACAGTAATTAAAAATATTTATTTCTGAAGATATTTACCTTGATAGGCATAAAGCATTTTCCAATTTCATACAGAAATACATAAAACATGCATAGACCAATATGGCCTACTTCAGTGTGTATTCAACATGGTAAATATAATGAAGAACTTGTGTGAATATAAATACAAAACAAAAAATAAGCACATAAGAGCCAACCTGTCAGCAAATTCAACAATGTGAACAAATTCACTGCTATAAAACATTCACCCAATATTAGCCTTTTGACATAATTCAAAACAACCCTTTGTCTTGATGCTGTCCCACCAAACAAGGCACTGGAAAAAAAAAATAAAAATCACACAACAGCCTCTGGTACATCCCCACTTCAGTGCATTTTTGGTGGCATGTAAGACAAAACAGACTATTATTAGAACTTCAGCTAGCCAAATCAAATATCATTGTTATGGGAAACCTAGTACAGTCCTCTAACTTTTATTTTATGTTGAAGAGTCCTTTGGTATCCAAAACCAAAAGAGTTTGACTATGCAAACAACCACAGCGTCTAAGCCACATTCAGATAACTCTGGTTGTACAAGTAAACTAAACTTCTGAAAAAAGGCAAAGGGTTGCAGCTGATTAGTAAAGGCAATAACAAGGTGTAAAAATACTCTAGCAGGAGTGCAACAAACAGTATGCGAGGTAGACATGTATATATGCAAAAAGTCCTGATTAAAGTAGCACTGCGGCTTTCATTTTGGCATTTCAATCGAAAGGTAGAGTTTTTTTGCTTTAAAGTTTGTCCACTCAGATCTTGCTTTCTGTCCTTTCTAAGCACATCTGTGAGGTCTTCCTTGCAAGATGCTTTTGATGCAGACCCTGAAAGCTACTCAATTGATGGGTAACATTCCAGAAGCAGCATTCAAATATTTCTTCAGAAAGACGACTTTTCATGTCTGTTGCTGTGGATTCACCTTCACACCTCTACCCATTCATCCGAATTCCAAAACAAAGAAATCCTTTGCTGTTATACCTCCAAATACGGGACTTCCTTGGTGTTTTGCTTCACTGGGCAAACACTTGGACAGAGAGGTCCTTCGCTGTCTTGGAATGTTTGAAGTCAAGAGAGAGTTTTGGTGTGATGGAGAAAAATTCAGGTGATCTTCCCACTAGGATGCTTTCAGGCTTTCCCAGATGCTTTGCCTTTTGTTTGCCCTGTTATGTTTCAGCTTCCACCCCTTCTGGAGCTCAGCCTTCAGCTTTGCAATACTGAAGGAAGCTTTGATACTGTTACCAATGGCTTCCAGCCTGCAAAAGTAGGAAATACACATTTATTGTTACAATAATGAAGATGCTTCTCCAGTGTGCACATTCAGCTTTTGATTAAATAAGTTTCAATCTAGATTTCTAGATTTCCTCAAAAACTGCTGCTTGCTATACCTCTGTCAGAATTATGCTAACTAAAGCCACTTGAAATATTGGATTCAGAATTTAAATACAAACATTAAAATAAGTTAAAATATTAATTCAAATATAGATGTGCTAGACTTCCTTAAATAGCATGTATCAAATCAAGAGGTCTTTGGCTTTATTCTTTTAGGCTGTTTTCTTTCTTTTAGGTAAACCTGATTCTGGTTCCAGTGAATGGGTGCAGTTCTCAAGTAAGCAAGGAAGTCCTGTTTTCAAAAAGTATTTAAGACTTCCAGAGCCTAAGTCTTACCCAAAATCATCAGCCTGCCTTCTCCCATAAATCCTGTTCTGTTTTTGTAAGTAGCACTAAAGAGAGTCTTATTTCATATGGGAATACTTCTGCATGCCATACTTTTACATGGGCATATGGTCCAACACTGAACGCCAGAGCTGATGTAGCTGTACTAACACTTGGCTTCAAAGCTGACTTCACCTCTACAGAGTTCATAGCTGCACCAGGTCCAGTGCATGCATCTCTGAACTGCACTGTGGAGTGATATTGCTGCCTGCTGCCACTAAACTTATTATGCATGGACCTCAAAGGGCAGTCTTGAAATTTACTCCTAATCTCAGATATTAAATTGGACTCAATTATTAATTTAGTCTTCATTTTCCCTTTCCTCAACCTTTTTTGCAGTCATTTACACCACTAACACCCTGTACTCATTTTACACAGGTTTATCAGGTAATGTAAAAGATAGGGCAGGTAGAAATCCGCCTCCTGCATTCTAAAAAGCCAGTCACACCACTCAGAAGAAACAATGTATTAAAAATCCAGTTAGATCAACAATCTTTTTTTCCACTCCAGTAAAATGGAGTAAAGTATCTAAGAAAAGGCATTCTGATTCAATTTCATCATAGAATAGTTGGGATATAACATTTTGAGGTAGTTATGATAATGCACGAGCACATTAAAATGACAGGCCCTATTTATTTCTGCCAGTATTTAATGATTTCATAAGTCTCCCAAAGTTTGGTATATCTTCAGGCCTACAGTTAAGCCTGTTTCCTCTAAGCAAAAGTAGGAACACTAGGCAGAGCTCAGCACCTGTATCTTCACAAGCTAAGAACCCACTGCATGAAGAAAAGCCCTCAAAACATCCTTCAAAGCTCTCCAGCTGAAATCACCAGCTAAGCCCATGCTGACCCGAAGGCAGGTGAATTGTGCTCTCTATTGCTGCTCCGGGGAACTACAACAGGATGGGAAGAAACTCACCGCTTCATTTTCCTGCTGTCAGCGAGCTGTCGGTTCATGCATTTGAGTCCGATGCAATTGCCAGCTTTGCTGTGGTGATGTGAGGTTTTCTCCACTGTGGACTGAGCCCTGTTAAAAGTGAAAAGGTGCTGCTGTTAAAAAAACACCAGATCTGCAGTACACAAGGTGAGGCATGTCATCAACCACTTCTCAAGGCATGCTATCTTTAAGCAATAAACAATCTTTCTGGGCCAAACCATAGCATGTATCATAGCAATGTAAGCACTCAGGTAGGAGGCAAGGCTTTGGAGAGATTATTTGCTCAGTAAGTGCCAAAATGAGTAAGTCTACCACAATCCATCTCTTTTACATGCACTGCCTTTTAAAAAGCAGCAACAATAGACGCACCAGAGATCTTCTCCTGTCTGGCAGAAGTTCAGACATTTCTTGTCCTTCTGGTTGGCACATCGGCATCTGCTGCTGTGTTCAGCGAGCATCTCCGGCACCATGTCGTTCAGCGATCTTCTGGATCGAGAAGGGCCTCCGAGACCATACGGAACAGTCTTCCTATGATCAAAGAGACAACATGAAAGTCATTCAAATAATTCCACGGCTTCAAAAGAGCAGAGTATTTTGGGCAATCTTATCAATGGGATTGATTGCATGACTAAAGGTTGTGGGATCGAGAATGCTTCCTCAGTCATAATTTCCATGCAGATACCTCTGATGATCCTGCAACATATTCATTAGCATGGCTACTGACAAGGCTAATGACCTTTTAATTGTGATTTCATAAAGCTGCTGTGCCTTCCTGTGCCATAGAAAGCAATAAAACCTCATCTTTTTGAACTTTGGTAACTGCCAGCACTGAAAGAAGCAATAAAAGTGAGGAACAGATCCTCTCTGCTCCGAGGAAACCCAGCAGCAGAACAAATCACAGTCAATGTTTGCAGTGTTAGGTGAGGCTCTGGCTCACTACTTTTGGTGAGAAGAGCACAGAAATGGACACTGTACATGACTCTATTACGTGGGATGCGTTAATTTGCAGCAGAGAGCAGCAAAAGGTGGCGAGGAGCTGCCTTGTGTCAAAGTAAGCCTTCTAGTTTCCTAACTCGCTGGAAAGAAAAATGGCCAGGCAAATTCAGGCTGGCAAAATCATACTTTTGGCATTTGGTCTCCTTCTGATTCATAGTGAAAAGCATCCTGCAGCCTTTGCTGAGCAGCACCCACAGGAAATACTCCTGCCCAGGTTTTCGGAACGCAGGTGTGTTAGGGCTACTAGGAGCTACCTGCTCAATCTAGGCGGTCAAGTTCTGCTTGCTTTCTCCCAGTGAGCAGTCTCACCGCTAAACTCGGCAGAAAAGCAGGAGAGGGAGGGGAAACCACAGGAGAGACCGTGCAAGTACAGATTCTTTCCTCCCCTTCTCATTTCTGCAAGGGATTTGTAGTTCTTAAGCCCCCTTCCCAACTAAAACAGAACCCAACTCACTCGGGGGTGTTGATCCAGATGATGTCGAGGTGGCAGAAGTAGACGCACTCCTCGTCCAGCAGCGAGGAGCAGGAGCAGCGCCGGGCACGGCGGTGCGGGGTAGCAGCGGCGGAGGGCGACGGCGAAGTGTCCGCTTCGGCTCCGGGAGCTGCGGGAGGGAGCG